CTTGCCACTTAGGTTCTCTGATATTGCACAGGAATTAATTTTAAAAGACAAGTAAGGAATTAAATGTGTAATTTTAATAAAATAATGGTAGAAATAGTCATAACTTTTTATAAAGGTATTACTATTTTTTTTATGTCACCTCACTCCCAAAAAAGAAATCTTGGAAAGAAAATTCTATAATGAATCTTATCTTTAAGAGTGTACTTAAAATTATGGGAAAGAACTACTACAGAATTCGAAGACCAAATGGAAAATATAGCTATTTCTCCCTGTAAATCTAATGTTTACTTAATATAACTACTGCTGTGTGTCAAAGTATGAAGACAATGATTAATTTCAGAACAAAATGGGCACACAGTTCCTGTTACCTATTATGAGGATTAATATGGATGACCAAGAAGTATATATGAGGAGTCCTAACAGCTTTCACAGAAATTATCGGAGTACTTAGTGTGCCTGTAGCCACAAGACAGGAATTTGTGGACGTGTGATGTTTTAAGAGAAAGAAACTATGATCCTCCCATTGATGCGAATTAAACAATAATGTATTGTTTTATATTTGAACTTCTATGTCAGGAAAGACAAGCAGAGAATTTTCCTCAATCATATGCTTATTTAAATGTTCGGTTTTCCTTATCTGCAGAGAACTGTTCTCCATGTTTTATATTTCTGAACATACAGTCCAGAAGGAAAGAAAAAAAGTACAAGATATGATAGTCACTTTCTGGAATATGTTTTATTTTGTTTTGACATACTGAACTAGAAGTCTTTAATTACCTCCCCATCACACATTCCCTTCTAAATCCTTATTATGTAACACGACCCTGCTCCTGCAATCTGCCTACTGCCACACTCACCACCCATACATACAGACAACTGAGTCAATATATATCCAAGTTCTATCAGTAAATGGGCTGACTATCAATCTATAACTTTATTCTGCTTTGAAAAGATGAACTGAGCTTATGAGATGTCTCTTGGAGACAATTTTATAAGTGACTTAGGGAGTGTTTTATGGTTGGGGATAGTTTGAATAGCCTTCGCCCTACATGTATTTTCTCAAAGATCATATAATAATACTCAATTATAAAATCACCTGTGCCTGTTTTTTTTTTTTTTAATAGCATATGTGTAATCATTCCCTAATCTGTTCTATGGCAGTTGTTCTCCACTTTTCCTTTGAATCAAATTTGGGAATTCCTATTTTGCTAGGAATTAGCCATTTCCTCTAAATTTTCATGTTCTTGGTAAGATAAGTAAATTGCTGCAGTATTTTTAAAATGTCTGACAGTATATATTAACATTTAATAATACACATACAATTTAAGTGTCCAATCTCCACTTCTGAGAATCTAGCTAATAGAAATATGAGCAATAATATATAAAAGTATGTGAATAAGGGTGTTTATTATAGCATTGTGTGTCGTGACAATAAAATAACTAAAAGCATTTTTAATGTCCAACAATAAAGAAATGGTTTAAAATATTTTAAGTGTCATCTAAAAGCATAAATTAATGGGTAGAGTTTAAGTTTGGCAAGATGAAAAGAGTTCTGGAGATGGATAGTGGTGTTGGTTGCACAACAATGTGAATGTACTTAATGCCATTGAACTGTATACTTAAAAAATGTTAAGATAGTAAATTTTATGTGTATCTTACCATGAGTAAAAAATGAAAATAAAAATGAAACATAAAGTTTACATTTTTAAAAATTATTATTTTATTTCTCGTTCTAGGTCAAGTGAAATGACTATCACTCAAGATTTTTAATCAGAGAATGTGGGGTGCGTGTGTGCATTTTCCCTGTATGAGACATATGTTCAGTAAACAGGATCTAGTAAGGAGAAAGAGATTTGTCTGAGACTATCTGCCAAATGGGTGATACTTCTACCCTATCTCAATGCATTATAGCAGAAAATACTTTGATTCTACATCATATATGCTACATAAACCTCTAAATAGACTAGATTGTGAATACATAGCAATTGCATAAATTCACATGTAGTATTCCATGGATCTTTTTTAAACTAAAGGATTTAATTAAAAGAGCACCCTAAGGAGACACCTAACTAAACCTAAATATATATAAAGTTATTCTATTATTTTTATTATGTTTTTTAATACTCAGATTTCTTCACAGTTGAATGCATGACTTTTTAATTCAAAAGGGATTTAGTTCCTGAGACAAATGAAAACATAAAAAAATGTTAAACTGTTTTTATAAAAGTATTTTTCTTAATTTCTAACAAATCCCCTAGGGTTACTATTATAAGAATGATAGCTACAGTCTTGAATAAATATGTAAACTAAAGTTTTATAATTTAAAAATACTGAAATTTTGGTTAAATATTGAAGATTAAATATTCTGATTTATTAACAATTTAGCATAAATCCCCTTCATTGTAAACTCTGCTGAAACTTTTCCAGTTTTAGGCACTTTCTCACTTTAATAAAAGTTCATTCTAATAAACACAATTTAATCTTTCTCTGATAATTAATCTTATCGAAGTGCCTTCAGGATTATTACCCAGAGCATAAGTACTCATGGCTCAGGTTAAAATTTTTGGAAATAGAGGAAAAAAAAATGCTACTGGCTCCAAAACTTACTGTAGAAATGCCTGTTTATACTACATTCTTAATGTCAAATTGTTTTCTTGCAATTTTTCTCTCTTTGTCTAAAAAATATGAGCCAAGATCTAGGTAATAGTTTTTCCTTTATAATATTTTGCTCAGGCATCCCACCCAGACTTCATTGAATAGAGCAGCAAACTGACTTGAATTGTCAAGTCCCAGCAACTTGTACAGCTGAGACTTTTAATTGGAAACACAGGATCAAGTGCCTGTTAAGACAAGGCTGAAAAACTAAATTCCCAACTCTCTTCCTCTTCTGCTCATGCTGACACAGTACTATCAACCGTAAATAACAAGGTGTGATGAGATGCACTTAGAATGCCAGTTGTCCATGATTCTTTCCTCATGTAAAATATTTCTCAGATATGCTTCAACCAACTGCCTTAGGAATCTGAGTGGGGATTTTTAATGGATTTAATATATGAATCAGATTTACATAAGACTATAAACTTGTCTCTAATATATAATAAAAATGAGAAATGTTCTACATCTGATTTTTATTCCAGAGACTCTTCTCAATCTAAATATTAAAACGATTAAGCAAATTATAGGTGAAAATACTTTCTTTTTTTCCGTAAACTTCTGCTTAGCAGAGGGAAATTTACGAAAATTCATTTATTTCAAAGTGGTTCTAAATTTCTGATTTTTTACGTGATAAAAAGGTCACTGTAATTTAGAATGTTTATACTTCAATGACCCCAAAATGGCTGGTAAATGTAGAGAGAAGGTTATTTTGAAAATAATTATTTTTAACGATCCAATTCTATGTATAATCTTAGAGCAAATGTGTACAAATGAATTGGAATATGGACAATATTTAGATGGTTACATAAATACAATTTTGATTTGATTTACTGATCATATTGTGGGAATTATTCTCTTGGACTTATGTTGTTATTTTAACATAGTATTTTCGGTAAAGTAATATTTTTAAGTGAAAAAAATAAAAACAGTCCAAAGTTCTAGCCCATTGTTAATTAAGCTTATAAGGAAAGATGTTTACAAAAATTAAGTTCAAAGTACAATAAACTAAGCAGGTGTTCACAAGTGTTTCTACATGTTGGTCACTGTGGTCATATCGTACAACCAGTTTTTATTAGTCTATCTCTATAATATTTGTTTGTTTGTTTTTGCCTTTTCTCACATAATCTCCATATCCTAGCTGAGCAAGAACCCTAGAAAGCAAGCATAAGAGCCCCATAAAGAAAATTACTAAATATTTGAGTAAATAATCAGAGTAAATTGTCATCTGTAGTCAACTTACAGTCTAACAGAAAATGTAAAATGTGAAAAATGAAGCCGCACAGGAATTTAGACTGTTATTTTAAGAATTTCTTCTAAAGACAACACCCTTTGGGGAGATGTCCTCTTGCATTCTTTCGTTGCCAGGATCTTTTCCAGTCTAAGAGTACTGATATATGTTTTATTTGGATTTTCTTTTTGAGGGGAGGGGTTGCAGAAAAGGCTGGATGAGGAGTTCTGTTACAGACATGGGCAATTTTCTGAAGTCAGGCAACATTCCTCTCCAAAACAGTTTCTCACAACTCTTAAAAAGAGACCTTCTTGGGAAATCGCTGAGTTGAGTCTAATCTTATAGCATTGTTCCGCAATGGTTAAAGTTGACAACTCATGTTAAAATTAGTAATTAATTGTGTAAAGTGCCTATATCTTTACGTGTTTATTTCATCTGCGAACATTAATTATATATTTTACATTGAGTCTGCAGCTTTTCTCTCTTTAAGATTTTGTAATTTGTGATTATGAAGGCAGCACATCTTCAATGTTTTGTGGCACTAAGTACCATTAAAAGCCACTTTATGGCTCTCCAATCATTAAAACCATAGTATTACTGGAGCAGTGAAAAGAACTCTGCCTACTACCTGAGGATAATGCCACCATTATGTTGGAGTTTAATGGAGTAAGGATAAAGGCCAAGCACAACATGACCCTGCGTTTTATTTGACCCTGTGATCATTTAGCATTGGACTGTGAGTCCAGCACAGCTGTCAATTCTGACTTTCCAATGCACTCAGGAAAGTATGCAACCTATATCCTATTTCCTAAGCAGAAATGATTTAAGTAATTAGTTTAAAAAAAAAAAAAACAACTTATTGAGAGTTCTTTGCCCCTAGGTCATCACCTCCTTCTTTGATTTTGGGATCAGGAGACTAAAGACAATATTTTAAAATAATAAATAAATAAAATTTCAAAAAATAAGAAAAAAATCTAAAAACCAATTAAATTTTCTTTTTCTTTCTTTCTTTCTTTTTTCACTCTTGGCACAGAGCAAGCGGGAAGTTACTTCTCACGGTTCCGGGTTTCCTCGCGCCCCGCCCGCCCGCCCGCCCTACCAGAGCTACGGGCTTTTCGTCCCTGGGTCGGTCTGTCCTGCGGAGAGCAATCCCTGTCCATCGGTCCGCGCTCTGCCCGCCCGCCGCGCATCTGCCCTTCTCTTTTGACTCCGCCCCGCATCTGTCCGGAACCGCCTGGCGTCTGAGCTGACCCAGTGCGCGTCTGCCAGTCAGTCCCTCCGGATCTGCCGCGAGCCTCAGGCTGCCGAAATCACCGCGCTTCACTCGGTCCGTACCCAGTGGGCATCTTGGGTATCTGGGCGGTCTGCGGTCCCCGCGCGTGTGTCTGTCTGTCTGTCTCTCTGTCCGATCCGCCGCCTGCAGCCTGCCTGACGGCCCCAGCGCACCAAGTGTCCAGTCTGCCCTTTCGCTGACGCTGAGTGTGTGTAGCGGCCTTAGTTAACTGCCAGCCCGCCTGAGACCGGCCAGGCAGCCGGCGGAGGAATACACGTTCGGCCCCTGCTCTTGTTGATACAATTTTAAGCCAACAGGAGCTCGAGGCCTGTATTTATGCAGAAAACGGGTCGTGAGGCCTCTGTTTGCAATGCTAGATCTGGGGAGCCAGCCAGCTGCTTGATGATTTAACGGGGAAAGGGAAATTTCTTTCCTACTACTGGCTTTTGAAACTGATTTTAAATCTGAATGCGTGGAAATTATAAGTCCCCATAGAGAGAACAGATTCATTATTGGGGTGCCTTTTTGTCTGATGCATTTGTTCTGAGCCTGCTGACCAGCTGTTTCTGAACTTCATTTTCTCAGCCTCAACAGTGATTCTGAGTCTGCTTTTAGCTTCCTTCGCCTTGGCTTTTTTTCTGTTTGTGAACAGCTGCTTGGCCCATAGCTTAGAGAAAGCAGCCTTTTTTCTCTCCCAAGAGTCTCCTCCCTCTACTCAGAGAGATGGGGAGTGGGGAGCCTAATCCTGCTGGTAGGAAAAAGAAGTACCTCAAGGCTGCCCTTTACGTGGGTGACTTGGACCCAGATGTCACCGAGGACATGTTATATAAAAAGTTCAGGCCTGCTGGCCCTCTGCGCTTCACCCGAATCTGCCGTGACCCGGTGACCCGCAGCCCCCTGGGCTATGGCTATGTTAACTTCCGCTTTCCTGCGGATGCCGAGTGGGCCCTGAACACCATGAATTTTGATTTGATTAATGGCAAACCATTCCGCCTCATGTGGTCTCAGCCAGATGACCGCTTAAGAAAGTCTGGAGTTGGAAATATATTCATCAAAAATCTGGACAAATCCATAGACAATAGGGCCCTTTTTTATTTATTTTCTGCTTTTGGGAACATTCTCTCCTGCAAAGTCGTATGTGATGACAATGGCTCCAAGGGTTATGCCTATGTGCACTTTGACAGCCTGGCCGCTGCCAATAGGGCCATCTGGCACATGAATGGAGTGCGGCTCAACAACCGCCAGGTGTATGTTGGCCGATTCAAATTTCCGGAAGAGCGGGCAGCTGAAGTCAGAACCAGGGATAGAGCAACTTTCACCAATGTTTTCGTAAAAAATTTTGGAGATGACATGGATGACGAAAAACTGAAGGAAATTTTCAGTGAATATGGGTCAACTGAGAGTGTCAAGGTGATAAGAGATGCCAGTGGGAAATCTAAAGGCTTTGGATTTGTGAGATATGAGACACATGAGGCTGCCCAAAAGGCTGTGTTAGACCTACATGGAAAGTCCATGGACGGAAAGGTCCTATATGTAGGGCGAGCACAGAAGAAAATTGAACGTCTGGCTGAGTTAAGGCGAAGATTTGAACGGCTGAGATTAAAAGAAAAAAGTCGGCCTCCAGGAGTGCCTATCTATGTTAAGAACCTGGATGAGACCATTGATGATGAAAAACTGAAGGAGGAATTTTCTTCCTTTGGATCAATTAGCCGGGCCAAAGTGATGGTGGAAGTGGGGCAAGGCAAAGGATTTGGTGTCGTTTGCTTCTCTTCTTTTGAAGAGGCTACCAAAGCAGTGGATGAGATGAATGGTCGCATAGTGGGCTCCAAGCCTCTGCATGTCACCCTGGGCCAGGCCAGGCGTAGGTGGTGAGAATAAGAATGCTCAGTTTGTTTCAGCCTTAAGCTGGTGCCTGCTTAGTTTGGGCTATTTTGTGATAAGAAGTTATTTTATGCCAATTCACAGGTTTTTTTAAGTGAGTACTTTCTTTTGAAAAAAAGTGAAACTAGAAAACCTTGTTCATTTTAGTGAAGAACATAATTTCCAATTGTAAAACTGTCATTTTGTACTATTTTTTGATATAATATCTATAGGAATATGTAGAATAAAGTCTATTCCTCCACATGTTTTTTTTTTCTTAAACCTGTCAAGGTGAGGTAATTGAGTATATTTTCTTCCTTATTTCAATAATACTACTAAATTTAATTTCTTCTGTGAAATATTCTTGAAATGGTCCTTACTTCTGAGTCTCACAGAGTGAAAAATTCTAACTTGCTTTTTGAGAAATCAATAAAGCAGGGAAAAATATATGTGATCCAATTAACATTTGTGCATAATTTCACTTTAAATTATTATTTAAAATGAATATTCTTTTGAAAAGATGTGAGCTTTCTTTTTTCCCTTTATTTATTTATGTTTTGTCCTTTTTTAATATATTGTGGGCGTACCACAGACTTGATAGTGGCTTTGACTAAGTTTTGGGAGTTTTCTTTATTAACTTCATGCCCAGAGAAATAAGCATATTGGTATTTTCTCAATCAGTATCTTAGAAAATTAACACTTTAGGCATTGATTATTTAAATTATGAGTTTCATATTAAAAACTTTTCCTGAGATTTGATATTTGAGAACAGTCTAAGGAGCATTTTTACCATTCATTTTTCTAAACTCCTTAGATCCAAGTATCTACGCATACTTGGATCATGTTAAATTGACAAGAAAGATGAATAACTGCACTGAATTGCCTTTACCTATAGACAATTTTAAAATTTTACCTTCAGCCTTTATTGTGTCAATATAAAAGGTAAATAATGCATATAATGATGTTGAAAGACTACTTTGAAGAACATCTTTTAAACTTGTCATCTCTTGTTAACTGTTGAACATATCCATGTGATAATATTCACAGATGTTTCAAAGTTAAGGAAAAGGTTGTCTCTCTTGATTAAATCACATACCTCCATCTATCATATGAGAGCTATTAATCCAGTATGGTTCTCTTTATGTCTGGCTGCTTATAAATTGGGACAAAATGTTCTGTTCTATGTTGCAGTTACATTATTTAGCCTGTAATTTCTAGATTGCAGATTTTCCGTATCTTACTTGCAGTTCCCTCTTCTCCCCATCCATCTACCTTCCATCCATATTACACTTACTTCTGTGTTTTCTTTGGATTGCCTTCCTTATACTACATGACAGTTCAAATCCATTTTGGAAGGAGAGAAATAAATACCTAATTTATGTAAAATTTAAATAATTACTTGTTAAAAATAGGATTCACTCACACCACAGATCCAGCCATAAGAAAATGTTCTGTCTCTATTCCCAGTTGGTTTTATTACCTTATATAGAAATCTTTAGTTTCATGTATAATACAACATAAATATATGATTTTGTTAACATTTTTGTTAGCTATTTGCCCATAAAATAATGAGAATAAGCTGTTTCTATGTAATTTTTTATCCACAAATTACATGTATATTCATTTTCAAATATTTTCAAATGGACGTCACTGTTTTTATTGATTATAAACATAATATATGCTCATTGTAAAAAAATGTACACAATGCAGAAATTTATAAAGAAAGAAGTAAAATTCCCACAGTTCAAAGATAACCACTATTAATATTTTCAGTGTGTGCATATCCTTCCATGCCTTTTTCTTATGTGTACACACACTGTTTTACAAACAAAAATCATAGTATGTGTACTTTTATGTGTTTTTTTAAATTTTAAACTAAAACGTAATCATCTTTTCATGTCAATAAATATCAATCTGTATCATCATTTTAGTGACTGCATAGTATTTCATTGTGTTGGATGTGCTATAACTTATCTAAGTAGCTCATTACTGAATAAGATTTATCTTTTTCAATGTTTTCTACATTTGTAAACAATACTGTGATGAACATCTTTACTTAAAAACAGTATGAGTTAGCAACTAGAAGGATGTGCAACTATGACATACAACTATCTACTGGGGCTTTGGGGAAAAAAAATGGAGGAGGATTGGCAATGGATGTTAGCTCAGAGCCGGTCTTCCTTGGCAAAAAGAGGAGGATTAGCGTGGATGTTAGCTCAGGGCTGATCTTCCTCACAAAAAAACAAATAAACAGTATGAGTTATATGAGCTTGAGAAAAAATATCTATAGCATGTGAAAGCTTAAACCTACTAGAAAATAAAAATGCACATCATATTGATATATGTATCAAAATTTTGAACATTCAAGATATAGTCTTCATTTAAAATGACAAAAGAAAAACCAAAACTAATGTGATATAATTGTTCATATTTTATGAACTTACTTGCTTTACATCATTGTGATCATTAAAATATATGAAAACAATACAATTCCAAATAAAATTTAAAATAGTTACATTGGTAATTATTTACCATATGTACACTCTATTCCTTTTTACCCACTACCAATTTTTGTTTAAATTTATAAACCTGAAGTGTCAGTGTTTACCTAAAACCTTTATAAATGCTTTGATTCAGTATAAATCATGAAAGAGTTCTAGAAAAAAATCTTCAAGAATAAGAATTTAATACACTGGGGAAATTATTTAGATATTTAAATTCTTACTGTTTTCAAAAAGTAGGCCAGTATAAAAAAAAGGAATAGTTAAAATATGCCTAAGTACAAATAAAATATACATGTTAGGACCCTACAAAACAGTCAAAAGAACTCTACAAATTTGGTTGGTAAAAAGCAGGGGAAAAATATAAATGGAAGATAATCTCTATTTGAACAAACACCTGGGTAGTTTCTCAGGCTTGTACTTTTCACTTTTAGCTACATTTAATAGACTCCTAATAATTAAGGCTTCCACGGGGGAGCAAAACAACTGAACACCTTGAATCAGTGACAAAGCATTAAGAATAAATTATTGTTCATTTCGTAGCACAAAATAATTAGTAAAAATTAGTAAAACTGTACTATCAATGGTCAAATTAAAAATGGACTATTTAATACAAGTTTTTTGTTCATTTGTTTTTTGTTTTTCTTCCTTTCTTTTAAGCTTTTCAAAACAGTCACTTGTACAAACTTCAAATGTGCCCAGGGAGAAGAAGAAAATTAAGAACATTGCTTTGTGATTGCAAACCATCATATAAAGGTTATTTGGGGGAGGCTTTTCTGTACAGACAGTTTCACACATACTGGTGCCTTTCTTCTTGTATCTATGGGTTAAGGGGAAAAATAAAATGTTACATGTAAGTGACATTTTTTGCCCAGTGGAAAAAAGTAAGAATACTTATTTCTTTAAGGGAATATTTAGGAATGGAGTGAATACCATCTTACCTATAAATAAATGACCTAATTTAAGGGAATAGTTAGTAATGTATGAATAAATGAACGAATATAGATGATTCAGGTGTTCTCAGCACCTATGACAATACCTGTAATATAGTTAGCATTCCATGATTACTTGTTGAATTCATAATCTATGGATTATATCCCTCCATTTGTTTGCTTTCCAATTTTCTTCTCAGTATTTGACAAAAGAAATTAGTTATTACAGAATAAGCCATTTTTATTAAATCTCATCCTATGAAGAAATAATTGAGAACTGATTGATTACATAAATTGGTGCTTGTAACATAGTATTATTGGTGACATAGGCTCATGCTTATAACTGTTTTTTCGTTATTGTTCAACACTTGATTGATGAGCCTGTCTTAGACAAAGCTTGTAATAATTGGAATAACTTAAAGTCTATTTGTAGAGTAACATTTTGTTAATAAATTAATGGTATGTTGCTTCAAGACCAAAAGGATTCCACAAGGTCTTGCTCCTACATTGAACCAAGTGATCACAATAATCCCTCAGAGACTAGCGCTTGCACATGCAAAATGAATTGATTCTTACATATTTCAGAGCGTAATTTGCTTCATATGAAGTGTAACCTAACAAATGGTTTCTTGGAGCCTCAAGAGAATTAATGTATCCCACTTAGCTCCAGGGGATCATGATCAGTAATTAGAAATAATCTAGCTACCATTGGAAATCTGAGAATAGAAAGGCTTGACTAACTCAATATACAAATACTGAGGATATAATTCCTATGAAACTTTAAAAAACTAACTCCAAGTACTTTCACCCTCAAAATCAAAGTCAATTTTAAAAGATCTGCCATCAGCGTTCTCACTGAATTTCTCATCAAAAGTTTGGGGCCTTTGTATTTTCGTTTATTTAATTAAAAAAAAAACATTTAGTGCTTTAGCGAGACTGCAAGAAAAGGGATGAGTGCTGATATTGTATGGCAAGACTCAGTCATCACAGTAAATTAGTTTCTTTGTTTTAGAACAATAGTAAATGAAACAACAGATGTTGGCATCTTTTGTATAAAAAAAATAAGCCTTCTATAATGTAGAAAAATACTTTTACATCCTTTTGAGATCGATTTGAAACTTCCAAAAGGGTAAATTACGCTTTTGAAAAATCAAGGACTTTTTAAATCAATATTTGGGGCATAAAAAAGTAATTTTAATCTAATTTACACAGAATGGCAAATGACTCTTTTTTTAAGTCACCTCTCTGAGGATTTGGGGCAGACTAAAGCCCTAAATAGAAAAAACAGAGAGGAATTTGCAAGCTTTTCTTTTTCAGTGTTTCAGGAAGTCCAAACTATATCCCTAATAGGTTTTATTGCACAAAATTCTATTGCGTGTTAATGTCTTTAAACGAGTAAATACTTTACTTTTTTGTGATGAAGGGCAGCTTTATTGCATTATGGTAAGGACGGTAAACAAAGCAATGCGAGTCAAGATGAAGAATTTGTTTCCCTGTTCACTAAAAAATAATTAAAAGAAGGGACATAGAGAAATAAAGAGTAACTTAAATGTTACAAATGTAAATGAATACTGTAAAGACAGTAAAATTCTACCTAGTTCAATATCTACTTTAAAGTGAAACATCATGAATAGTTTTCATTCAATTTGTATGGTTATTCTTAACACTGATTTGACTACTACAATAATACTAAACCTCAGGAACATTTCATTTGTAAGTGAATTTCTTAAATAATTGGTGCTCATCTGCTCCTCTCTAATCTCTTACCTCCATCACCTAATCTCAACTCCATCCCTGCTGAACACTCAAGTGTATATCAGATATTTCTAGTTTATGTAGAAATTTTTATTAGATGTGCATGTATGTGATATTGTACCATTTTGCTGAGATAAAGTTTCAGGACTTGCAGTGTTAAGCCACAGCAGATGGTAGGAAACGTCTGCTTTTTATATATGGATGAACGTATGTAGCTGAAGATATTCTTTTACAAAGATGTGAATATTAGAATTATGCTAATTAAACCAACAACAAAGCTATGGGGTCTGTTTGGAATTGTGGTTTCATAATGGGCTGGAGCATCTGAATACCAGAGACTGGGTAATACAACTAGAAATATGTATTGCTAATATGGGACAAATTTTGAGATATGAAAGCAACATTCCAAGCGTAACAAAACACAATGCTAAAAGAAACTGCCCAACTTTTCTGAAGTGGCAATATAGGCAATGAAAATTATCTAATGCAGCCTTTAGTTGTTTTGTGAAGACACACCACAAAAATGTGAATTGTCTTAGGCAAAGAGTAAAAATATATAGACAGACAGTTTTCTGCAACTTTTATTATATTTTGATATAAGTGAGACAAACTGCAGAAGAATGAAAAACAAAAGTATGAACTAAATATGTCTCTTACTTTAGTCTACAAAATAAGAACAGTTTTACTTTAAGCAGAATAATTTTCTTAGACCTCTGGGTCATTTTCACTACTTTTTATCTTTAGGTTGTGAGAGACATATATATAATCTATTTTAATGCAAATATATCTCCTCAATATATTCTATTTATAAAGCAATATATAA